ATTTCTCATATTCGATATAACTCTGTAATGTGTTTGATTAGTTGATGCCCAACCTCAAGATTGCAAAGCCTTGGCCCATCCATGAGGCCGAGGTTTAATTGGCAGAGTATGTTTCGTTAAAAGAGCAGTGCTAGGGGCACTCGCCTCTTGCACTCTCCGGCCAACACTTCCCCTTTCATTGGGCCACGTAAGCTTGTTTCAGGCTTTGAAGGCAACCTCTTACCGACCAGACTAACGTGGCCCAATAGAAGTGAAAGTGTTGGCCGGAGAGTGCCCCTAGCACTCCTCTTCGTTAAAAACTTGTTAGTTGTTACAAATATAACAATATGGTACCGCGCGCAAACATAAGGTGGAATATATATATTATAAGAAAATATGGCTTGATATATTTTAATTTACAGTCATGATTTTGATTAATGATCGTTGCTTAAGAACAAAGTTGAAATTGAACAATCAAAATTATTTTGTCTTGACCACATTCTCTACATGTAATTTCATGTACTGATATTTAAGGGTTTGAGTACCCCTTGTACTCACAATAAAATTCATTTGCTTTTCAAAAAAAAAAAAAAAAAAAAAAAAAGAACAAAGTTGAAATTGAACAATCAAAATTATTTGAATGGAGCATCTATTGGTATAAATAAGTAGATTCTTGTCACTACAAGTTAGATATGGTTGTCCTTCAGTACCAGATGCAACGTTGCTTGCCTATTCAGATGGAGAGACGATTATCAGGTAATATCACTAACTTCGCCACCTTTTCCACCAAGAGGAAGGAGTGATACGTTGTGGAGCAGGTGGTGTGAGAATGTCTAGCATGGTTTCCTTCTCTTTTGGGGCTAATGGAACACCTCTAAGAAGGTTTTAAAGCCATGATATGGACATTAGTTTTTTGCCTGTGCTTCTGGTAAGCCCATATGCCTGCAGCAGCACCCGCAACTAGAAGCTGTCCACAAAACTCAATTTTAAGTATGTACAGAAAGACTCACTACTAGCAAGTGTCAGTGCTGATAAAGATTTTAACTGACCGGTGATAGCCACAAGGCTGCTGTCTGCATATCAAACTTTGGGGCATAAAGTGCTGTCTCCCCAAAATCCTCTTCAAGCTTTTTATAAATCTCTTCGTCAGTCTTTCCAGCTTGAATTTCATCACGAATCAATTGCAACAATAACGTTAGGATCAGAATTTTCTCATTTGCGAAGTTGCTATGAGATTACAAGGGAAGCATCAAGAAGCTAAATTTATCTAGAAAGAGTTCAGAAATACAAGTAAACTTGGACAAAAATAATATCTTTAGGAGAGAGAAGTAAATATAGTCGATTCACAACCCAAATTCCATCTCCACAACGAATTAACATTGAAGAATATGTACTTTTTGTTGATGATAACTGTGGAAAGGTAGACAGAGCACCATAAATTTTATGGGATACCAAAAGTTTGGGATTTTATAAACAATAGAGAATATCAATATTGTCTAGGAGTAAGGCCAAATTGGTGGTGGGGCAGTCTGGAAATTGGCCTAAAGCTTACTTTCACTCTACCACCTAAACTTGCTTCCTTAAGATGTATCCAAATTTTTTTTAATGCTGACCAATGACCAATTAAGGAAGCTAAAAGTGAAGCATAAAAGAATTGGATTTAACATTTAAATTGCTCATAGCAGCTGAAATACAAGTTCTCATCATGATGAAAGATTTGAAAAACTAAAAGGCTTTTGCATTGTAGAATATACATGGGCTCTGAATTTTGGTCTAGAAAAATGACTACAAAACTGCTCTTAAAGTTAACAGAAGCTGATGGAAAGGCATCTAAAGAGGTGATTTGTAGATGTTAATGAATATAAAAAGACATGGAGATCAAAAAAACAGGCATCTTGCTGGAAACAAATAATTGGTGTCATTTGCAACTACTTTAAACAGACTTTTTTACCACCTTTCATTTATGTAAATAGCTAATTAACCAACTTGATGGAGATGAACCAGTTCTACTTTATTGCACAAGAAGCTCCAGAAGTTTCTCAACATATAATCAAAGAATAAGGTGGTTTGGCAATGGCTGAAGTTGTAAATTTTAGCAGACAGTAAACTATTAGCCATGATGAAGGAAACAATCTGGCTGTACTTGTGATCAGTGATCACTTGGATGTGAAAGAAAAAAAGTTACCTTTCTGAGGAGAATTGCAATATCTGCTTGTGAATCTTCAATGGATTGACTTCCACACTCTGTGCAGCGAACATTGTGACTTATGTTTCTTGCTCGGGCTTCCACTACTTGGGTCTTCTTCAACTCATCATCTTTTCTCTCCATTGCCAATATATATCACCTCAACTTCAAAATAACTATAGAAAACATCAAGAGAATAAAATTACCACAAAAATAAAAGATAAAAAGTAAAAGAATCTTTCAGAGCTAAGTCAAGTTTTTTTTACCAGGGAGGCATGTTTTAAAGGCTTGCCATGACAAGAAAAGAAAAGAAAATTAAAATTCTACCCATTTACCCGGGGGAAAAAAATAACACTTTTCTTCAGATATGAGTATTTAAGTACCACTCAAGTATATCTCAAATTACAAACAATGCCAAATACTTAATTGATTTGACCAAGTATATTCAATTGTAAGATGACTTCTTATTTTCTTTATAGGACCTAGATACATGCAATCTTGTTCTGATCCCATTTTAAAGGAAAAAGAATATAGCTTATGTTTCCCCAGACTTAGGTTCCATTAAGGGCGCACAGTTCATCGAGGCATTTCATCAAACCATAAGCAGGCATAATATTATCCAGTTAAAACGCAGAAGCAAGTAGGATTTAAATACCCTTCCAGACGAGAATACATTTCTTCATAACCAGTGACATAATTTCTTGATAACCCATGACATAATTTCATCTTACGTATCACGTTTCAAGCTG